CCTGACAGAACTGGTAAGGATACACCTGTGCCAGTTTGGTTCTGCTTCCGAAGGAACCAGCGTTTCCCTCTAGGGGTTGGTGTTCATGCTTTACTGAGCTGGACAAGTTTTTACACCTTCTGAAGATCGGTCTCATAACCTCGGAAGGTAAGCAGTGCATCAAGCTCGTGGGCTTGAGACTTCTGAGCCCGGATTCAGGATCTTTTAGTCCGTATGCACAGAAATGGAAATCTCCCCAGGTCACGGATGGGTCTGAAAACAATTGCTGCATGCATTTCAGATACCATGCTTCAACTGGTAACGCGCAATGGATGCCACAAATTCAACCATGGGAAGGTAGCGTTTCCGCTTTTCCCCCACCTTTTGCTGGTCTTGCTGGATGTTCTGCATATTTGACCATGGTCCGCAGACTGGTGCCATAAGGATGACATCAGGTGCTTGTTCCCTGATGATCTCCATGACCATGTGTCGTCCCTTGGATGTCATTACATCGAATCCTGTGCGGATGTCCACGGGAGTCCCAACCTTAAGACCTGACAGTGCACAGCATTGACTGAATCTGGCACTTCCTGCAAAGATCTCGAGAACGTGGATCTTTCCCTTACGTACACAGTTCCAATGTGCTTGTTCAGGAATAGATGTGAGGTCCTCGACGAACATGTTCTCTGCTGGATGAGGTACTGCAGGTTTTGGAGTTGTTGTTTTCCGCGATACGTGCATCGTTCTCCTCGAGGACCCAGAACGTCTCTTCATCGTTGTTTGACATGAATCCTTCAAGTCCTTCTTCATCCTCAACCCAGAAGCCTTCTTCTCCTTCGTATTCACCTTGTTCGATGATGAAGAATGTGTTCCTTCGGCTGCCTCCTTGAGGTCGGATGGATGGATCTTGGATCGATGTCCTCGTAGTGATGAAGAGTTCATGGTAGCGTGTCTTCAGCATCTCATAGGAATAATTCTCGAGTGAGATGTTCCTAAATGACATTGCACTTGTGAGTCGTTCTCTTTGTTGATCTGACAACTCACTTGGTATAATGAAAAACTGTGCAAAGAGATTATCCCCGAAGGGAAATGCGTCCCGCTGTCTGTCCTGCATTCCTTGGATATATTGTCTGAGGACTGTAGGATCGTCCTCATTTAGCAGGGCTGGAGGCGGTGCTCGAGCACCGGCTGCTTGCTGATGTCGAGCAATTGTTCTCGCGTTTGCGTCCTGTACGGACTGTCGGAATGATGGAGACTGTGCCGTAAAGATTGGCATCAAGTCCATCCATGCTGCCTTCAATCTCATGAGAAGGATCTCGAATTTTGAGGTAAAAATGAGGAACTCTTGGTTCTGCCTTCTGTGGTTGAAGAAACTGAGGAGTCTGTACAGATACACGTTGGTCGCACCTTTCAAAAAGTACTTCTTCAGCGTGTTCTTGAAATAGTTGACTCCTTCATCAGGATCTTGCAAAAGGTCATTTTGGAGGACTGCCTTGTACATATATGCATCTCCAGTCAAGTCTGCTCTTGAGGAGAGGTCCTCTCTTGGTGCTTCCACCGTTGTGATGGTCACCCAGTCGTCCACGAGTTCTTCATACCTGAACCAGCTGACTTTTCCGTCGTACGATGGCGGCTGCTTGGCGGTCATCGATAAATTAGTGTTTCCTCCGTATAGCCTGGAGTTTTGGCCATACTTGAATAGGCTTCCATGAAGCCTTCTCCATCTGATGACATCTTCCCTTGGATCTCTGCGGAAAACCCGCTCCGCTACCACAAATTGAGGCCCACTGCCCCAGGTGCCTATCCCCGGAGGGAACTGGAACCCTGTGGTAGTTGAGGTCGTTGTTGGTCCCTGAATCTATTCCGGAGAGAGTCCAGTATGCCTACAATGGATGATTGGAGGATGGATTGTCCCTGGTGGATTGTCTGATGGATAATCCTGTAAGCGGCCTGCAATGGCTCTTTTGTCCTCACGCTCGAATGGTCGTGATTATGCAAAAGGGGCCTTGAGCCAAATGTTGCGGGAGATCAATCTGTGCGAAAACAACACACCCCCCCCCCACAGAAAAAAAAAGAAGTGGATTGGCGCATTCCCGATTCTCGCTCGCGAACGCCGCACCGGAGAATCAAGAATGCGCCCATCCAACTGAGGGGGTCTCCCCCCCCCCCAAGAAAAAAAAAGAAGTGGATTGGCGCATTCCCGATTCTCGCTCGCGAACGCCGCACCAGAGAATCTCCCCCCCCCCCCACAGAAAAAAAAAGTGGATTGGCGCCATCCAACTGAGGGGGTCTCCCCCCCCCGAAAACACAAAGAAGTGGATTGGCGCATTCCCGATTCTCGCTCGCGAACGCCGCACCGGAGAATCAAGAATGCGCCCATCCAGCTGAAAGGGTCCCCCCCCCCCCACAGGAAAAAAAAAGTGGATTGGCGCATTCCCGATTCTCGCTCGCGAACGCCGCACCGGAGAATCAAGAATGCGCCCATCCAACTGAGGGGGTCTCCCCCCCCCCCGAGAAAAAAACAAAAGTAGATTGGCGCATTCCCGATTCTCGCTCGCGAACGCCGCACCGGAGAATCAAGAATGCGCCCATCCAGAAGAAAAGGTCCCCCCCCCCCACAGGAAAAAATGGATTGGCGCATTCCCGATTCTCGCTCGCGAACGCCGCACCGGAGAATCAAGAATTCGTTCATTTAATTGAAGGGGTCGGCGGCACTGGGCGGCAGCCCTTAAATATGAAAAAGAAGAGGGCCACGAACATGGTGAGGAACGTGATGATGCAAATGATGATGATGATGATGATGAAAATGATGATGATGAACATGAACTCATCATTTTCATCATGTTCCTCATCAAGTTCGTCATCATCATCATCATCCTGATGATAATCATCACTACGCATCCTCAGCATCGCCAGCAGTCAACAGTCATCACTACGCATCCCCAGCATCAGCAGCAATTATCATGACAATCATGACAACACATCCTTTGCATTTCTAGTCGGGTCTAACGGCACACTTGAAACGTATGAAAAAGAAGAGCGCAACGGTAATGATGATGATCCGGATGATGTGAAGTGATGATACTCATCACTTAGACAAGGACAAAGACAAACCCTTCCCATGCGCCTTCCCTTTGGAGAAAGGGGTCGGCGGACAAGCGGCTTATACCCTAGCTTACCAACGACTTACTAACTTGGCTGAACACCGAAGTAGCATGTTGCCCTTCGCAAATTAATGTGCGAGCTTGCATGAGCTCTCTCTCTCTGTCTCGCTTCTCTCTGTTCAGGCAGAGCTTGAAGCACAGCCTTAAGTTTTGGCCAATGAATAGCAGCCCGCTGAGCCTGCTGTGAAGCTGCACCACATGTGTTTTAACTTTGCTTGTCTTCGGTACGTAAACAACTGAGTCATCTTAGTTGTAATGACTACGCCTTGTGCTGCCTGTGTATTTGTTTTAACCTAGCCAGTATATAAGCATGTCCATAATGCCATCCTGGATTTTGAGCTGCAGTATACATCGGCCAAACACGGTGACTGCGAGATCTGTTGCTTGCAGCATAAAGGCACCCGCTTGCTTTTGCCAAGCAAGCAATGCCCCGCTCAGCCAGCTGTGCCGAGGTTTGTGGTTCTAAGTTGCAATTGTCGGGATGTTGATCTGTTTTTTGTTTTCCTTGGAGAGTGTGTGTGCGTATGTCATTGTACGTTGCAGAGTCATACTAGCTTTTCAACCTCAATCAAAATGAGCATGGGTAGTTCTGCTTCTTGTTTCAGGGTTGGTGCAGCAGGTGAAGTCTTTGCTGTGGGGCGGTTCCGATGAAGTGGAAGAATCATGTTCAAAAGTCTTTGGCAGATGAGAACTTGGAGGCTGACTGAGTCTGGGCGCAAGGTACAGAGACCGGAAAAGGCCGTCCTAGTCAAAGACGGTGCAGCCAGGTGGGTGATCCAAACTATCCAAGCTTCTGATCAACACCGCTGGTTACCCCAGTTGATCCATCAGGAACGTTTGTAGCTTCAGGGCTTACCCAAGGCGAAAGCGTTCTTCCTGCAATTTTGGGGAGCATCCATTTATGTATCTACATATATATATATATGTACTCATAATATACGTATGTGTTGATGTCAGACTTGCTTAGCAAACCTGGTTGGCAAGAATGGGGACTGTTCAAAGAGTCTAAGACGACAAAGTGTTGCTGATCCTTTGGCACACTACTGTCAGGTTATATGCGACCGACCCCTTATTTGTTTTGGGCAAGTCATAGCGACCTCACACAGATGTATGACTGTTACTGTTTCTGTGTTTGATACAATCGTGTAACTTACCCAAATTTAGACTTTCTTGCAGGAATCCTTGTAGGGGTGTGAGTTCCGTCACCCACATGTTGATCCGTTTATTCGCGGAGCCCGTCAGGCGAGCACACAGGTGGAATTCCATAGTTGTTTGTTTCTATTCATATTGCTGGACTGCTAACTGTTTTGACACCAAATGGGGATGTGCTAAGATTGGACATGGGGAGGGACCTTTCTGCTGGATGGTAATTGGCGAAACCAGCGAAACCGGCGCCTTCCAGTTGCAGCCACTATTTGGAACCATGGATGGGTTTCCAAATCCTGGCTCCCTATGGCTGGTGCACAAACAATAATCACAACTTTCAACGCGAAACAAAACAATCCCCATGAAATGTTGGTTGGCAACGTTGGCAACAAATCCCAGTCGGGGCTCGAGTCAAATTGCCCAGATTCCAGATTTGTTTGACTCGAAGAGTCTTCGCCACATTTTCCCAAATTCTGATCTCAAGTTTTCGGTTTTGGCCTTTCTCGATTGCCAGGGCTGTTTAGGCAGGCTCCCCCCAGAATAGTTCTCAGAAGCCTTCGAATGAACCCCCTATTGTTTTTAAAGGTAAGCACAACTAAATGGGCTTTAGTGTCCGGGTTTGTCTCAAAATAGGAGTTGGATCCCAAAAGGGACTCGGTGTTTGCCTTTGGTTTCCCTTTAAAACCCGCCTCAGCCGCCTCAGCTCGGCAGGCCTCGGCACCTGGCTCTCCACCCACGCTGCGGCGCTTGCCTCGGAGAGAGAAGCGGAGGCCTTGAGAAGACCTCAAGCCGCCCGCCGAAAAAAAAGAGAGAAGAGGATATATCTGTCCTTCCATAATGACTTCAATGCACACACGTACATTAATCGGATGATATGTCAATTGATATGTTTGTTTGTTTTCCTTTGACGTTGCGATATACATGTGTGATTGCTATATCACATGTTGTAAAAATATTGGACCAGTAAACCACGGTCGTAGTGCGTCCAGTCCAAGTACATTGGATAATCGTGCACTCTTATAGGTAATACGACTGGTCAACCATGCTGCGTTTGTTTGAACACATAATGTTATTGCCTAGTGATACAGCTATGATCTTTGATATTTAATGTCACGGAAAGAGTTTGTTTTGAGAACTTCAAAAGCAGATTTGGATAGCGCACTCAACATGTTGGGGTGGTAACCCTTGGAATTCAATTTGTAGTTCCATTTTCTCTTTGGAAGACTAGACACATGGAATTGGGGAGGGCTTTTATCCCCTCCGTTAGGGGGATGCTGTTGTGGATGGACGAAATCCTGCGCCACCTAAGACACCCTGTGATGATTCCCCTGTAATCACCGGCAGACCATGATTTGCCATGGTTTTCCACTTGCCCAGCGGCGCCCTTTTTTCAAAAGAGGATGCCCTTTTTCCCCGTGGCCACTGGGCATCTGAGGTTTCATTTCGTGGTGCGAACGGATTTCGTCAGTTCACAGTAGTACAACAGGTCCAGACATGAACGACGCTTGACATGTGCATCATGAAGCTTGTGTATAGCAGAAACCTGGCACGACAACGGCCGTGACTTTGTGGCATCAACACCTCATTCGAGCAAGCCGCAAACAGTCCACGGGGATCCGTGTGTTACGGCATTCACAGGCTTTTTTTTAAAGGTACCCACTGAGAAACACTAAAACCAGCCAACTTCAAAATGACTGATTGCCCTCCAAGTATGGGGTGAATTCCATTTTGTTTGCTAGTTTGAGGGTTCAGGTGTGTACCCTGCCCCAAGTTTCGCAAAACGAAGGCGGTTTTCAGACCAGGCCTCAGCGACTGAGTCGCCAAAGTGTCGCCATGGCCGCGCCGATCCGCGCCCGCGGCGCTTCGATCCGCGGCCTCGCGAGCCTCGCGCTGCTGGCGGCAGTCGGCGTGGGCTTCGCGTCCGGCGGCTTCGGCGAGCCGCGCACGGCGCGAGTGCGGAGGTGGGGGGTGCCCTGAACCGGATCCAAGCAGAACCCCCGGTGGATGAGTTCCGTTTCGGACTTTGAACTTTTTGGGGTTGGACCGTTTTGGAATGAAAAGTTCAGACGTTTTCGGGCAATGCACTCAGGAAGTGAGGAACCCCTGGTTGATGATTTAATTACTGTTGGGTTGCATCTTTAGACTTGGACCTGCGTTTTCCGTTGAACCCGCAGAAAGTGAATCTGTTTGCACGGGGGTCTGCAGCATCCAATAGTTGGGTGGGTGTCCCCTTTTAGTGAGGATTTAGACCATTTTTGGAGGGAACAACCGCCCCAATAGGGCGGGTTCCTCAATCTGGGGTCAACATTGCTATGCTGTTTCAGATTGATAGCAAGGCCCATACAAGTCGTAGATGTGCGGAGTAAAGAATCAACCGCTATAGCTAAAGCCAACCCGAAGTTGACATAACTCGAGCCGCTCCCCAACATTAGAAACCGAGTGCTCACCAGAACTCCCAGGGGAAGCAGCTTGTTTTATCATTCGGGGTCCGGGAATTGAATGGCCACCACAACCTGTTGTTCTTTCAACCATAGTGCTTGCTGACTAAGTGCAGAGGGTACCCCAACACTAGAGCAGAGGTTGGTGGGAGAAATCGTGTTTTAGCATTGGTTTGGAATGGTCTATTCTAATTTAGTATTGAGGACATGGGATTTTGAATGATTGGAGGACCTTAATATTGTTAGGGTGTGAGGATGGTTTTTCATCGAGGATTTTCTAGTGGGACGGCAGGATTTGAATCTAAGGGCTCGGCTCTTTGCATGTCTCTTGCGAAACTTGCAATCAGCAACTCTTATTCAGGTAGCCCTTAGTTGGTTGGGGTTGGTGGTTTGATTTGAGAAGGTACGTCCTATTGTCCAAACCACCAAACCAAAGCCAAACCAAACCAACTAGAGGGAAGCTGACTTATAGCCGATGTGTTTGTGTTTCCCTTGAACAGTGAACCCCTTCATGTCCGACAGCAATTCTCCCGGAGGCAGGCCGGCAGGAAGGCGTACTTCGGGATCCGGGACCTGATGGTCGTCAAGCGCCGGGACGAGGACGTGGCGGCCTTTCACGAAACGGAGCGCGAGCGGTGGAGGAAGGTCTACGACGAGGAGTACGTAGAAACCAAGCAGGATTTTTACCCCGGAGACCGGGTGGAGGTGTTAGATGACGACTACGAGGGAAGGCAGGGAGTAGTCTTACATTACGACTTTGATGATGGCTATGAGTCCTGCCAGACATGCCAATCCTCCTACCCAGTGACAGTTCTGCTGGATGAGCCAGAATGAGTTGGCCTCAGCACGCCTGGCCAGTTTCGCCAAGTCAGTGATCCTTGAGCAGCCAACGCAGACTGCTGATCGCCAAGAGCCATGTCCCCTTTTCCGAAGACCGTCAAATGTTCTTGCTTGTTTGCATGGACAGAAGATCCAAGTACATTTTGAGGACGGGGTTTTCAAGGTTGGGGTCAGACAATATGGGCTCAACACTCGCACGGGTTGAAAGGGTCAGAGTGGTCAGTTGAAGGTGCCAGGGGACCTTGGCAGCATCCGCAGTCTCTGGCAATGGCCAGAAGGCAGAGCCGCGAAGCTGAAAACAATTAGCCAAGGGCGTGCCTCCATCAATGTCCCCCCCCCCCAAATGAAAAAGGGCGAGGGGGGGGGGGGGCGGATTGTGTGGATGTACCCATGTCGGTGTGTTTTTGTTTGATATGGCCCCAAAAAAATGCGGTTGTCCTTTTGGTGTTCCTTTTGAAGCATCAACGGATGAGTACCCTGAAAAAGACAACCACACATGTTTTGCTTGAACGACCGTCCATGTAGACTGCCTCTTCGCATCCGGAACACGCAGCCCGTTTCGGGAGTTCACGACCCCATGCCTTCGAGGGCAACAGCAGTTGGTCTTTTGGTGATATTTCGGGGTGTTTCCTTAAAGCCACAAAAGGGGCGCCCTGAAAAAGTGACACACCCATTGAACGAGGAGAGATCGGATCTCTCTCAGGCCAGAGTCGACTCGGGTGAACCTGAGAAAGTAGGTTGACACCAAGCCAAGCCCCTCAAATGAGATACTCATGGGATAAATGGGTCATCTCTGGCTTCTTTTGTTGCTTTGTTTCCCTTTCAAATCAAGGAACTGACCGTTTTGCCCTTGGCCGGACAAGAGAGTCAACACGCTGTCATTGAGTATTGTGATCTTCGGGTAAAGATCTGCGGCTGTGTGTGTGTGTGTGGGTGTGGGTATTGTGTGTGTGTGTCTGGGTGCGTGTCGTGTCGTGTCGTGTCGTGTCGTGTCGTGTCGTGTCGTGTCGTGTCGTGTCGTGTCGTGTCGTGTCGTGTCGTGTCGTGTCGTGTCGTGTCGTGTCGTGTCGTGTCGTGTCGTGTCGTGTCGTGTCGTGTCGTGTCGTGTCGTGTCGTGTCGTGTCGTGTCGTGTCGTGTCGTGTCGTGTCGTGTCGTGTCGTGTCGTGTCGTGTCGTGTCGTGTCGTGTCGTGTCGTGTCGTGTCGTGTCGTGTCGTGTGTGTGTGTGTGTGTGGGTGGGTGGGTGGGTGAGTGGGTGAGTGGGTGAGTGGGTGAGTGGGTGAGTGGGTGAGTTGGTGAGTGGGTGAGTGGGTGGGTTGGTTTTGCGGATTTCCACGTCCACACCATGTACCATGTTCCATATTTTCATGGTCCTTTCTCGGATTCGCACGCTCGTTCACGGCGTGTGCGGGCATGACGTGATGAAACGGGGTTTTCACGGCTTCACGCCCTAACGGCCTCCGGGCATGAAAGTTGTGATGAATTGCATATCAAGGTTACGACCGCGAAGGACTCAATTACCGACATGTGCGCTGAAGGAACTGCCCACTATGTCCTTAAGTTCCTTGGAACTTTAAGAAATGCGGACGGCTGCAAGGTTACGATGGGAATCAGGATGATGGCCTACATTTCGGGAGTGTGTGAGGCAACTTGCCCAGCGCAACCCAGGCAAACTCACTCAATCCCTGGGCTCGCTCTTAAATTGGTGGGCAAGTGGCGACCTTAAACCACGCTCGACAATGTGCGTATCCTCCTTTTCATTCAGCCTTTGGTTTTGGTGTCAATTTCCCTCTTTTTTGGGTTTGCAGGGGGTTATATGGGATAGACCTGAACCATGTTCAACAATCATCTTTGCCAGCTGTTTGTTGGATGGTGTTGGATGTGTTTTGCAAGGAACCTGGGCTTCCCACTATGTACTCTAAATGGGCAACATCTTGCATCAGTTGGATTTCGGTGGTTTGTCCCATTCAAAGCGAGTTTCCTTCATCTCAGCTCGTCCCTTGAGTTGTCTCCATCCACAGAGTATCTCTCCCTGAGTTCCTGGACTTTGCTCAAGTTCTGGGTTTGATTTTTTAGTGGGAAACAAGTTCGAACCTTTTTTGGCCTATCCACTCACGAAGAGAGATATATCTGTTGTTTGGCTGAATACGGTTTGGAGTGCGGCTTGCTGTGCGTGTTTTCCTCTAGCTGGAAAGCGCACAGACTCAGTGACCCTTTGTATGGTTGTCGCTCCCTTGAGTTCCGTTTCGGACTTTCGTCGCGTGGTTTGGACCATTTCGCTGGCATCAAGCAAAAAGGTTGTCTTTTTGGCAACTCCAAACATTTTTTGGATTTCTTTGGGCAACTCAACTCAAGTGGATGAACCAAACAAACTTTCCTTTTCTCAATGAAGTCAAGGAAGCGGCCTGGAAACCGAGGTGCGGTGGTACTGGTTCCACCTGGCCATGCAGTTCGGCTTCCTCACCCGAGAGTTTCTCGGCAGGAAAGCTTTAGCTCAGGGTTCGATGGAGTTGCTCTGCGAATCGACATGAAATCACACCTTGGGGTTTTCCAACATTTGGTCGATTGTTCGTTCCAAAAGGTGATCGCCCCTTAAATCCCACAAAGCCGGGGTCGATTCCCCAAAACTACTCAGACCAAATATGAAGCAGAATCTGGGCATGTCGCTTTGCGGACTACGTCTAGATGGCCTTCAGAACACAGGGATCAAACATTGCCTAGGCAGCTGACATATTTTTTTCACGCGAACGGAACTGTTTGAAGATGCAGTTGCGCGATTGGGACACTTGAGAGCGCATGTGTTGGGAGGATCACCGTAGGAAACAAACTGGGTGTATCCTATTTGGGCATTCACTGGGAAAGTGAGCAAAGCGAGGTGTTATCGTCCTCATATTTCTCTTTTGCGCGGTTTGGCGTGTCTTTCTGCTGCCACATGTATATGGGACATCCTTGTCTCGTAGGGTGAAAGTTTAGAGGACACATACAATGCCACCCCGATGAATTTGAGTCGATATGGTCAATGAGGTCGGGTCGGGGAAGTCCCGAATTCAACTAAGCCATCAAACACGAACCAGGGAAAAGGGACAAGGCAACCAACCAAACAAAAACACCATTCTTGAAATTCACCCTACTTTGACATACATCACAGTGGATGGACGTAATCCTGAACCACCTTTGAATCGAGGGTTGAAGCGATTCGTTGGTAGTATTTACAGATTTACAGCATCATCAAAAGGTTTCTTAGGTGGGGCGAAGTGGAAATCGTCCATCCACAGTATGTCCCATGCCCATGGCAGCTGCACAAATTTGGACGTTGTTGGACATATTTGCATCTGGTGTCATAAGGTTTAAACCTCGAAAACCCATACCAATACCTGAAAGTGTACCCTTCTTTTGGGCAGACATCGGAGCCGGCAGGCCGTTCAGGAGAAAACATCCAAGCACATGCGGAGCATCTAAGCGGATCTAAGCGGGCGAAACGAGCTGGATGAAGATGCCTTCACCAATTTGGGGAATGAACTATTTCGGCGCAAAGCACACATGAGTCACAATCAAAACCCGGGTAAGTGAGGGTTAGTAGGGACAATCCCCTTGCCACAAATAGCTGCGGACATCCGCCCTCTTCTATCTGGAAGCATGGTTCTGGGTCGAACATTTTAATATCGGTTTTGATTATGACTCACATATGCCGGTGGGGCAAGGAAGAGGGTTGACCAAGTTTTGATCCTTTGTTGGACCCTTTGTTGGGCGCCTTTGACATGTTAAACCCTATACTGCTGCCACAAATCCACCAAGTGCAGCAGTTGACTGCTTGTTGGACAAAGTTGCTGAAGTCATCAACATGGACTTGCTTTGCAACCTACGAGGGCCGAAACACGTACCCCGGTATCGTACGGGATAGGCATCAAAACACTTATTAGGCATCAACAAAAAGGCTTATTAGGCAGAAGGAAGGAAAGAAGGAAGGAAAGAAGGAAGGAAGGAAGGAAGGAAGGAAGGAAGGAAGGAAGCACCCCCCCCAACCACCCCGCTGATTTGTAGAAGGTTCACAGTGATTAACGCACCCTTTGCTGAATCATCACTTCTTCGAGCATCATGGGGGGGGCTGCCGCCCCCCCCCCCCTGAATTTCAGAATGTTTGCAGAGATTACCGCACCCTTTGCTGAATCATCACTTCTTCGATCATCACCACCCTTTGTTGAATCATCACTTCTTCGAACATCATGGGGGGGGCTGCCGCCCCCCCCAACCCCCCCCGCTGATTTAATGCTGCGCCTGCGTCAAACTCTGCACCGTGCCTTGCGAAAGTGCTGCGCCTGCCGCGAAATTGGTACCTCTTGTGAAAGTGCTGCGCCTGCCGCGAAATCTGGACCGCACCTTGCGAAAGTATTGCACCTGCCGCGAATCTGTACCTGACCTTGCTAAAGTGCTGCGCCTGCTGCGAAATCTGTACCTCACCCCGCTGATTTGTAGAAGGTTGACAGTGATTAGCGCACCCTTTGCTGAATCATCACTTCTTCGATCATCATCACCCTTTGTTGAATCATCACTTCTTCGAACATCATTGGGGGGGGGCTGCCGCCCCCGCAAACCCCTGCTGATTTGTAGAATGCTTACAGAGCTTAGCGCACCCCTTGTTGAATCATCACTTCCTCAAACATCATGGGGGGGGCTGCCGCCCCTCCCACCCCCCCTGCTGATTTGTGGAATGCTTTGCAGAGCTTAACGCACCCCTTGTTGAATCATCACTTCCTCGAACATCATGGGGGGGCTGCCGCCCGCCCCAACCCCCCCGCTGATTTAATGCTGCGCCTGCGTCAAACTCTGCACCGTGCCTTGCGAAAGTGCTGCGCCTGCCGCGAAATTGGTACCTCTTGTGAAAGTGCTGCGCCTGCCGCGAAATCTGGACCGCACCTTGCGAAAGTATTGCACCTGCCGCGAATCTGTACCTGACCTTGCTAAAGTGCTGCGCCTGCTGCGAAATCTGTACCTGACCTTCCGAAAGTATTGCGCCTGCCACGAAACCTGGACCGCACCTTGCGAAAGCGCTGCGCCTGCCTCGAAATCTGCACCTGACCTGCGAAAGCATTCCGCCTACCGAAAGTGTCGCGCGTGCCACGAAAGCTGTACCTGACCTTGCGAAAGTGCTTTGCCTGCCACGAAACGAATAAGTTTTTTTGATCCCTATAAAAGTTTTTTTCGATCCTCTTTTTTTTTTTACCCCGTTACATAAGCAGTTACAGAACCGACAAGCATAAAGTTACATATAAGTTACATAGCCAATAGAGCCAAGTTACATAGAGCCAAGTTAGCCAAGAGGCCAAGTTACATAGAGCCAAGAGCAAGTTACATAGAGCCAAGTTACATAGAGCCAAGTTACATAGAGCCAAGTTAGAGCCACATAGAGCCAAGTTACACATAGAGCCAAGTTACACATAGAGCCAAGTTACATAGAGCCAAGTTACATCCACATAGAGAGCCAAGTTAGAGCCACATAGAGCCAAGTTACATAGAGCCAAGTTACATAGAGCCAAGTTACATAGAGCCAAGGTTAGGTAGAGCTTAGAGCTTCGGCGTTAGCAGCTATGTAAGTTAGTTTAGGTTTCTAAGGCGCCGGGGCGGGAGTTTGATCGTCGCTCGGGATTGCGACCCTCTGCGGAGATTCGCGTGGTCGAGGTTCAAAACTGAGGACTTTTTACGATTTTTAGCATGCGCGCGCGACCCTCTGCGGAGATTCGCGTGGTCGAGGTTCAAAAACTGGGGACTTTTTACGATTTCTGCTGTGCGCGCGCGACCCTCTGCGGAGATTCGCGTGGTCGAGGTTCAAAAACTGGGGACTTTTTACGATTTCTGCTGGCCGCGCGCGCTGCGGAGATTCGCGCGCGCGACCCTCTGCGGAGATTCGCGTGGTCGAGGTTCAAAAATTGAGGACTTTTTACGATTTCTAGCATGCGCGCGCGACCCTCTGCGGAGATTCGCGTGGTCGAGGTTCAAAAACTGGGGACTTTTTACGATTTCTGCTGGCGGAGATTCGCGTGGTCGAGGCGACCTTCTGACCCTCTGGAGATTCGCGTGGTCGAGGTTCAAAAACTGGGGACTTTTTACGATTTCTGCTGGCCGCGCGCGACCCTCTGCGGAGATCGTGCGCGTCGAAGCGCTCTCGCTGTGGCGCCGTGCGAATTTGTCTTAGTCTCGGCGAACCCTCTGCGGAGATTGTGCGTGTCGAAGCGCTCTCGCTGTGGCGCCGTGCAATATTCTTGCTCGCGAAACGGCCTTTGGAAGTTGTCTCGTGGTTTGCGCGCCTGCTTTCGCAATCCCGCGGTCGCGGGTTCGATTCCCCCCTGGTCCGCGGCAGCTCCGGCTTGAAAATCGCAGCTTTTAAGTACAAACGTAGTACGCGGAGCGTGCTCCTGCAGCTCCGGCTGGAAAATCGTAACTTTTAAGTACAGACGTAGTGTGCGGAGCGTGCTCCCGCAGCTCAGGCTGGAAAATCGCAACTTTTAAGTGCAAACGTAGTACGCGGAGCACACCCCCGCAGCGCCGGCTTGAAAATCGCAACTTTTAAGTACAGACATAGTATGCGGAGCGTGCTCCCGCAGCTCAGGCTGGAAAATCGCAACTTTTAAGTACAAACGTAGTACGCGGAGCACACCCCCGCAGCTCCGGCTGGAGAATCGCAACTTTTAAGTACAAACGTAGTACGCGGAGCACACCCCCGCAGCTCCGGCAGCACTTGCGCAGAGCAACTTGCGCAGAGTCACTTGCGCAGAGCAACTTGCGCAGAGCAACTTGCACAGAGCAATTGCACAAAGCACTTGCGCAGAGCAACTTGCACAGACCAACTTGCACAGAGCACATGCGCAAAGCGCTTGCACGGAGCAACTGGCGCAGAGCCCTTGCGCAGAGCAACTTGCTCAGAGCACTTGCGCAGAGCAACTTGCACAGAGCAGGCGCAGAGCAACTTGCACAGACCAACTTGCGCAGAGCACATGCGCAAAGCGCTTGCGCGGAGCAACTGGCGCAGAGCACTTGCGCAGAGCAACTTGCTCAGAGCACTTGCGCAGAGCAACTTGCACAGAGCACTTGCGCGCAGCAGCTTGCAGAGAGCAACTTGCGCGCAGCAGCCTGGAACAATGCAGCTTGCGCAGACCACTTTCGTGAGAAGTCGCGCGGCGCAGTTCGAGAGGAAAGTAGGATCATGAGATGGAGCTCTCATGTGACCATACACACTGAGCATCGCCGCGCGCAGACACGCTCGCTGCAGCGATGTAAAAAGGTGTCTCCGCAGCTGGGTGAGCACCTGTGGAAAAATGCTTTCGGGCCAATCGTCCTCTAGTAATAGTATATCAGTGAGAATAAGTTTTTTTGTTGATCCCTAATAAGCTTTTTTTGATCTTTAGAAATATGTTTTTGTTGATGCCTAAACAGTTTTTTGATCACACCCGTACCTAATATCCCACTGTAAAATCTGTTTATTTACCCATCACGCATACCCCCTACTCCAAGTTCCCTCTCTTTTTATGGTACTTCTAACTTTTCCCATAGTAAATACCTCCTGATTTGGTAGAGGCCTGACATTGATACCCGAGAGAAAGGGGGGGGTTGTCACCTAAGGATCCACTTGGTTTGCTTGACTCAGGCCCCTCGCCCTGGAAGCTCCTGACTCACAAGATCTTCGCTCGATTTGGGTGTGCCCATTTTTTTAGGGTTCCCGTGGTTTGGTGGTGGAGTATGGCTGCTTTGGTCTGCCCGAAAAGGCGAGGACACCCCCTCAAGCCTCGAAAAGCTTTTCCTTGGCTGACAGGCAGCTGGTCAAATCTCCCGGGGCCTTGAAGAAAACCAAGTGTATGTAATTTCTGGCATGCCTGGACCCTCAAAAAGGACCATGCTTTTTTGCGTTATTTTTGCTATTTCAGGAAAATGCTGGGAAGTTGTTCTTGAAGAAGTTCCAGGTATATGTCTATATTGTACTTTGCATCCAGACAACATGTTGTGTCAAATCACATGTTGTATGTACAATTATCTCAAATTCACTCGCATTCTATGGGTGTGGTTCCATTTTGAGGGGATCCCCAAAATAACAATGTTCCTAGTGGTTTCCCTTTAAAGCCTACCAAACCAAAAAAGGAAACCCTCAAAAACAATACACACCCATATTGGGTTTTTCTAGTCCCAGCTGAGGGTTTTCGTAAGATTTTGGTATGCACCAGCTGACGTCTTTGGCTTGCAACCGCTAGGTTTATGGTGATTTCGGCCTTACAGCCGGGTCGATGGCGATGGGAGACTGGAGCTGCATCTGCTACTCAGGGGTTCTCACATGTTTTCTAAGTTCGATTCGGGAATGGGTGGCTTCTTGTGCATAAAACCAAAAGGAGATTTGGTTTCCTTTTGGTCCCCAAACAGGGATGAGTATTTCATGGATCGATTTTGCCACACATACGACGAGCAAACTTGCCGATCTTGGGTTGGCTTTTTCCGAGCTCGTAAAGAAGGCAACTACCCAACCCCATCCAAAGGTGCGAGCGCCACTTTGAGTCGCGCGTTGTTGGTGGAGCCTACTTCCATGGTGCAATGCTTCGGTCCCCTAGGGGTCAATACTGTGGTTAATGGATGAATTTGTACGCCAGTTGGGAGGGATGAAGCGCTATGCAAAACGGGACAAGCCACCTAAGAAGGTAGGCCCGCAGAACCGCAAACCATTTCGCGGTCTTGCGTGATGTTTCAACGTCGGGCTTGCTGATCCCGGGAAGCTGCTGGCGGGGGTTGCATGAGAAACCAGTTCTATTCGGTTCAGTACACTGCGGATGCCTCAAGCTGGGGCTGCTTGTCACCACGTGGAACCCAGAGGGTCCACAAAGGAAAAGGCCTTCCAGGACCCCGCTTCCATGTTATCAGGGAGGGACGTTTTCCCTTTTTTTCCGGCTTTCTCCAGTTGTTCTGGCGGAAACTGATTATACAGACAGTGCATTCGTGTATGTGCAGAGTGCTTGTTTGTTTGTGGGGCTCCTCCTTCCCCCCGCACCCCCGCAAGCAAAACCAACACCTCACATCGCGTCAAGGAAACACCCTGCGCCGCTTGCTGGTCCTCAGGGACTCACAAGGGTTTCATGAATGAGATCCCCCACGGAGCCACCTGGAATGGCTCAGTTTGGGGTCATTCGAACTCTCGTCAGCCAAGACGTGATCCGGATGCCCTCATGAAAGCGACACCCCATGAATCCATCATGGGGCTTGTCACTGGAGACCAGGGATGGTTTTTGTTTTGGTTGTTCTGTTCATTTTTAGTAGGCGGCTGCAAATAGCCGTCAGTTGTTTTCTGCAAGCCCATGGCAACCTACGGTGGTTTCAAGCCTCGAGGCTTTTTGTGCCCATTGCTTTGGGGTGAGTTTCCCATACTCAGTGGATCCACTTCCCAACGTTTTTGTAGGTAACCAACGAAATTCGAGTTCTGTGTTTGCTCCCAGCTACCATTATCATGGATGGTGTGTGTGCAATGACTTGGTCAACGCCCGGAAGGAGTTTCATATATATATATATATACACCTAAATGTGTATACATATATGTATACATCTATTCCCGGTGCTTCCAACTTCTAGTAGGCAACCAGGGGAAACCATCATGTAGGTAGACGTAAACATATGCCTGGTGACCTAGTGGAAACTGGAAGCACTGCGTTCCTTCGGTTTCCTCTGGTGTCCTTTGGTGTGCTTCGGTTTCCTGTGGTTTCCCTTTACACCTTGCAGACGTGGCTTGCCATGAGTGTTTCCTTAAACCGAGGTTCCTTCGTTTCCTAAGCATGAACATGTTGGCTTCCCTTTCCACCCTTGCACCTTCCAAGACACCCAATTATCGGTGGCCGCTACTTGCAAAGCAAACAATGCTTCCACCTCATCCGAAAACTATTTTGCCACCAACACATGGGCTTACTGACTGTTGTGTTTCAAACTGAACACGCTTTTTGTTTGTAGGTGTGTTTCTTCATCATTTCAGGCGACCAAATCGTGCTTGACCCACGCTTCTGGCCGAAATCTCTGGAAATGGTATGCAGGGGCCAGTGGATATGTGCTAACTAGGTTTTGTAGGCAACCAAGGACAGCCTTCAACAACCAACAGAAAAAAACCAGTTGCCTACCACAAGGATATGTCGGATCCACTGAAAGGTGCGACAAATAGTGATTTTAGTTCAGAGAATTCTGGGGACGGTACCGGGGACTTTTGGGGTTAGCTTGGCTCGTGCTGGTTGTAACTGACAAGCTTAACTAGGTCCCCCAGTGCCCGTTCTCACCAGTTTCTTGGGGGAGGGTTCCCCTAAGTAGACTACAGGAAAAAAGTTGGTATTCTTATTCTAACCTCTCTACTGGAGGACCTAGTTAAACAACAGGTAAGTAGTAGAAGAGAAAGCTGGTCACACAAGGGAATCAAGCGATGCCTTTCAAAGACATGAGCTTATTTTCTTATAAGTGTTGATGCTTTCAGGTTGGCCCTTGTTTTGGGGGGTGAGCCCGGTTTTTTCTCGAAAGTCAGTTACTCAGGAGGTGCTGGTCTCCTACTGCTCCATCTGCGCGACCTATCTGGTGGTCTTCTTTGAGGTGAGCCACTTCTCCTCGGTGAGGAACCAGAACTTAGTCACGAAGCCAGGTCCTCGGGTCTCGGCGAGCCCCGGATGGGAAGCATGGGACGCATTTTTTTGCTTATGGTTTGGTTGAAATGCATCACTTAAACTGCAACAAGCCATGGTTGTTGTTGGGAAACCATGGTTGTTGGGCCGAAAAATAAAACTGTGGTTGTTGGTTTTTTTTTCTGGCTCCCCTTCCAACGTCAACCAAGGGAGCTCGGGTTGCAGAGCCGCGCCGCAGAGTGGCAGCAAACAGGCCTCCACAGCCCCAGCGGTGGGTTTTCTTGTTTGCGTATATTTTAGGCTTAGAGCCGAACGGAAGTGTAGTTAGAAGCTGTTTCTTGGGAACGGATGGTTTAGACCGAAGTTTAGACCAGGTTCTTCAACTTCCACTTGGTCCTTTTAGGTTAGTCACGGGATACTTCAGGGATAAGTGGGGCCTATCAGCTTTCAGGTCAGTGGATTTTCCCAGGGCACATTCGCCTTTTGATGTTCGGGGCTCGGTTCGCGAATCGATCTTTGACATGGGGAAAGCGTTTTTTCCACCTGAGAAAGGTTTAATCTTGGGACAAACCAGCAACCCACTGACCCGCTGTGGATGGATAAATCCATTTCGCACCAGCCAAGAACCCTGGTGCGTGATGATTCCCCTGCAAATACCTGCAAACGGTACAGTTTCAACCATGGTTTCCAAGCGTTGCAGGGTTGTTTGTCTATCCACAGCAGGACCTGTTGCGGAAAATAATGGTGCTACTGCGAAAGCTTTCTTCCCCCAACAGCTGAAAGCGTTTTGGGGTCGATAGGCCCAGAAATCGATGGGCTCGTTCAGGGTCCAGTCCAACTTACCTGTGAAGACCATGTTGTTTGTGTTTCCCCCTTGATTTTAAAGAGAATGTATCACTGCTGAAAATGTGGTTTTCCTTTCTTGTTTTTTTTGTTTCTTTTCGGGAGACTTATAGTGAGCAAAAGGAGGATTGGGCCACTTCTGATTCCGCTGGGGTCATTTGGCTTCCCAGTTTCCAGGTCCAGTTGATTCTTGTTTGTTTGCTATCCGAACAGGCTTTGCAAAGCTCAATCTGTTTGGACCTCTCTGGGGGTAGAAAACATAGATCATACAAAGAATGAAAACAGCAGGATTCGTCCTTTTGGTCCGTGACTCCTTCAACATGGGCTGAGTTGGTTGTGCAAGATTTATGTTTAGGGCCACTCCTTGTCATACCAAAGAGGATCCGCTTTACAGTGATCCAAGGTGGCGATGGAATTGACCACCTTGGTAGGTAGCACAAGAAGGGGCAAAGCGCCATTTTGCTAAAGACTTTTTGAATTTGGACATTCTGTTTCAGGACAAAATGTCTGTCTGCAAGACCATGTGCATAATCATTTTGCCATAGCTTTTCGTAACATCTTACCCGTCTTACCCCCCCCCCCGACTGAAGCATGCCTGGAAGTTCCGACGTTTTGCAGTAAGTTGTGAGATAGTTCCCCAAGTCAGTGGGCAAATTTAGAGGTGCGTGACCACCATTCACATCGCCGTCCCTGGGATTTCGGTTCTCAGCCAGCTTGGAAGCCAGGTTTCAGAACCAAAGTTTTCCTGAATAACGGTCTCGTTTGAACATCGCCCGTTTGGAGCGCGGTGCCTCGAGCAATTTTCAAGCAAACTCATACAATGGATGGCAAAATCCAGCACCACCCAAGAACCGCCGGAATCATGATTCAAACAATCAAAGTTTTTCCTTGGTTTCAATCTGGTGTGAAACGGATTTCATCCATCAACCTCATTTCCCTTCAGAGTGCTCACTCATGGAGTTTTCCTTCTCGAGCACAATGTGGAAGCTATTTTTGTGTCATCCTGAAGCCCTCGAGGAAGGCACGGTTGCACTTCTCGGCATTGTGTCTAGCTGTTTTTTTTGAGGCATCCGGTTCAACACACCGACTTGGACCGGGGCTTGGGAACCACGACTTTGGAGTTTGGAGGTCTGCGCGTTTCTTAAAAAGGACCATCTACACTACGCGGCAAATAGATGGCACGATTCCGACGTATATTTTTAAGTAGATGGCACGAAAGCAAAAACAAAAGTCCACCGTATTCGACGTATATTTTGTAGTCGAAAGACACTCCCAATTTCGAGACAGATAGAGCTGGGATTGCTGTCGCTGCCATGGTCGATTAGAAGTGAGAAGATAGCATCCGGATACCTAGCAACGTCCACGAGTCGCACAAGCAGCAACAACAACCGTGCTAGGACCAAGGCGAAACACATGCCATACCAACATAGGCATCACTCGTCGGGAACACCACCGCGCGACTTCCATCTGCGTTTCAGAGCATTTTTGTTTGGCCCTTTGGTTGGTTTTAAAGGGAATCCATCACTACTGGAAATATGTTCTCATGTTTTCCTCTGGGCGAAAACAATAAATAGGACCCATGCCTTTGAGCATCGGATAGCATCGGCATCTCGGATTTCCGCGGTTGAAATCCTCGTGCCTTGCGATGGCGGAGCCTGACGTCTCGGAGAGCACGCTGGGGGAGGCGGAAATGGAGCTAGAGGAGGACTGCAAAATTGAAACACAACCTCACACTCATGGAAGCCAAACTTTTTACTATAATGTCAACAATTTCTCGTGACCACATTTTTCGTTGGGGGCACATTGGGGGGTGAGTGCTTTTGCTTATGGCTCTTTTTGTTGTTTATACATATATATATATATTAGGGCGGGTTGGTTGGGTGGTTGACTGGCCGCATCCCTGGTCGCTCGGTCCGGGAATTGCCTATTGGCTCTGATTGAGTGGCTTTTCGGAGTTGCTCGGGGCTGGTTTAATTTAGGGGCTTTAGGCTTATATAGATCTTCATGAGGGCAGGTCTTGGGGTGGTTTGGGCTTGGCTTAGGCGAGCTGATTTGTGTTGGGTGTGCCTTTAGCAGCGGCATTAGGGTTGCTTTAGATTGGTTGCGGACCGTTGCCCCAAGCCACCAAAAGTAGCCCACAACTCCCGTAACCGCAGCCCTAGAGCAACCCTAAAGGCACCGCATAACACATGACAGGAAACTAGCACATCAAAACACTATCAGGGTTTCTTCGAGGGCAAGATGACCAAGCCCCAAGGCTAGAAACTTGGCTTTATTTATCTCGGATGTCCCCGATGGCAAATGTCTACTTCCGGTCCTGAGAGCAATTTTGTGTTCGGTGGGGATGGTCAGGACCCCCGGATGAATTCAGAGAGACACGTTAGTAGCTATGTAGTCAGCTGGACCCTCTTTAGGGATGGTCCTGGGGGTTTGGGAGGGACAGTACTTACTTTAGTGTTGCCAATTCTACTTTAGTATTGTTCAGGCTGACTCTCAGCTTCCCAGTACTTACTTTAGCATGGCCAATTCTACTTTAGTATTGGCTTGGGCAGTTTTTAGCAACCCTCAAAAAGGTTAAACGCTACAGAGGACACCAACACAGTCACATTAAAGAGGATCAGGGCCTCTTGTGGGCAGCCCCTTATGTGCGAATGTTTGTTCTTAATTTTGTGCGAAGAAGTTATCTTAAATTTGATGGTTTGGGGACCACTTCAAGAAAGGATTTCCGAATCTTTACCCGTTTTGGGGGTCCTGTTTGCCAAGTTTTTTGGCCCAGCCTTTTGTGGAGGCTTAGTCTAGCCTGAGCCAGACAAGATCAGGAGAGCAAAAACAAGCCCTGTTTTTTTTTCTTCGAGGAACAATTGTCACAATTGAGGACCCCAGAGCAGTCACAGGATCCTGAATTGCGAAGACAAAGTACTATAATACAGGGTACTAGTGCTAAAGGAGGTGTAACATTTCCGACCCTGTGCAAATGAGCGCAACGTATGGTTGTCAACATGAGATTTGCTTTCTTTGCTGGATGCATGTCCGAGGCTCGCACCGGTTGGGGCTGGTTGGGGTTCAATAATCCGAGCTGGGGCGAAAGGGATTTTGTTTTCTCACAGTACCGTGAACTCTTTCCATTCGCAATACTTGTCGAACTTTGTGATGGCTAGTCATGGTGTTTTTTGCAGGGGTGGTTTGGTCACCAATCCATTCTGATTATTTAAGCTTGAACTCTCTTTCCGAGTTGCCCTTGTCGGCCACCATTATTCGCCTAAAAAGTTGACCTGGTATGTCTGCTAGGTCCCCCAGTAGTGCCCTTTGACCCATTTTTGGGGGAGGGTCCTACTCAAACAAAGCACAGCAAAAAGTTGGCACCCTTTTCTTCACCTCTCCTGGAGGACTTGGTTAAACATCAGGTACGTAGTAGAAAGATCATACTGTCTTAAATGGGTCCCCCCAAATCCACCCCCCGCAAATATCCGGCAGGAGTCCGGGCACGCTTCTCAAGGGTCCCTCAGATGAAAGTCGCTAGGAGGAGGAGGAAGAGGAGGAGGACGCTTGGGTCCCACTGCGTCCCGGGCGGCCGCCGCCCGCGCCGCTCCGACGCCGGAAGCAAGCTGCTCACGTGCCGCGGGCGGGCGCGGGGCTGGGGCTGGACGAGGCTCGGACTGGGGTGGATGAGTCACGGAAGGAAACCAACTACTCACTTCCTGAGTTCCTGGACTTTAGTTACTTATTGGTTTGGAACTTGTGAGCATCTGAGTGCTAAAGAAAAAGTGTTTTTTGTTGTCCCATCCACTACAGTGAGACTACACCCCTTCAAAAGCCAAGGGTTTTCTTTATTTCACCATGTTTAGGGTATCCGTAGCTCTACCCAGACTCTAGGGTGTTCCCTGTCTCCAAGATCGTAGCATCACGGCCCCTTTGCTCAGGGTATATATTGAAAGGATCAACAGGCCTTCTCAACAAAGTCTTCCAAATCCCTATCCAGTTTCATGATTGTTAAACAGAGATGTTATGTTGTGATGTGGTGTGGTGGTGGGTCGTGTGGTGGTGGTATGGTATGAGCTTGCCACGCAGTGCAATGCAATGCAATGCAATGCAATGCAATGCAATGCAATATGTTATGTATGTGTGAAGACAGTGATGCGTAATTTAAACCATATCAGACCCTATCATGAATCTACGTAAATGCTTTGCATCCCTTTCCCCGGAGCTCAGCTCTTTCTCTGGATGCGTATGGCAGATGACTTGGCTGCATTCATGCACCTACTCGGGTGTTCGATTCGCCAGATTAGTAATTAAGTTGTGCATAGCCTATGTTGTAACACACTCATGAATCAAGGCGGGTGTAACCCAAGTGGCGAACCACTTGCTAACTTGGCGAATCAAACATCCAAGTAGTCACGAGGCCTGACTTGCTGTCCTCCAGATGATTTCATCGCAATTGCTCGTAGCTGATGTCAGCTAGTGTCAGTTGGTTTCCACATGTTTCGGGACACAGGAGGTTCTCCAAAGGTGTCCATTGATGTTATGCAAAGTGAGTTGCGGTTCTCGATGTCAGTATGAACATTGTGGTGCCAAGGGTTTTGAGTTGCAAACATGTTGCCATTGACACACCGATTTGGACATTGTGGATTCCCATTGCAAGCTATTTCTCGTCTATGTCAATTTGTCAGACCCTTAGTTGTTGTTTGTGTTTAATATATATAATAAAATAACAACATATATGTTTGATCTTGCCACTGCCACACACACATGCATCACATGACGAGGAAAGAGCAATCCGAGCCAGAGGGTGCAGGGCACGAGTTTGAGTCATGGCCCTTAGGGATCAGATTCTTTGGGCAAGCGAGCCATTGGTTGCAGCCCAAGAATCAAGAGACCGCATCTCGGCCGCCTTGGTGCAGCTGGTGCGCATAGAATCTTCCAGGGCCGACTTCAGTGAGTTTAGAAAGGACCGGAACCCCGTGGCTTTTTGTAGCAAAGCGTGTAAGGCCCTTGAAATTTGCCGAGGTACTTAAGCCGAATCAGGTTGCACGGCATGACAGTGCTGAAACTCGTGCTGTTTGCAGCCAATGGTTTTTGCTTCAGCTGTTTAGCAATTCGCCTCTAATGGCGTGCCGCTACCAGTTCACTTTCATCGTTGTCAAGAAGGAGCCACATTCGCTGGCTCGGTCCAAAAGCGAGGAGATTTATCGCCCAGAGAAGGACAGCGACGCCGCCAAGTACGTGGAGGACCTGGTGAGGCGCACCTCCAACCTGGACTTTCTGCGCCATCAAGCGGCAGGGCTCTCTGCGGGCAGCTTGATCTCTCACCCAGAGAAGGAGGCCGACCACGTGGAGAACCTCGAGAACGACCACGTGAAGGACCTCGAGAACCTGGACTTTGTGCGCCATGAAGCGGCAGGGCCCTCCGCGGGCAGCTTGATCTCTCACCCAGAGAAGGAAGCCGACCACGTGGAGAACCTCGAGAACGACCACGTGAAGGACCTCGAGAACCTGGACTTTGTGCGCCATGAAGCGGCAAGGCTCTCTGCGGGCAGCGTGGGGCATCCTGAGTTGTGCCACAAGCCTTGTCTCTTCCTCTTCAAAGTCGGAGGGTGCCCCTTAGGCGCCGAGTGCAATTTCTGCCATGAACCCCATGAACGCGCGAAGGTGGACAGGAGGATGCGCCAATTGCTGCATGACTTGGACGAGGCCCAGCAGTTGGCAATAGTACCTTGGTTACTTTGTGCGACCTTCAACTTCTTGGGAATGATGACAGTTGCCCCCGTAATGTTGAGCCCAGACAAATCAACCCTAGAAAATGTTTCCTGCCACAGGTTTGCAGGGTTCCGTTGCTTTGGGAGCGTGTGACAAATCATTTTGGTAGCGTGATGCGCAGGTTTGCAGGTCGCATAAAGCAGTTTTTTTGTTCAGGGTGCTGTTGCGCAGGGCGCTGCAGTGCAGAGTGTGAGTGGAGCAGAAAGATTTGCTTTCCAGTTTGTCCCTTTGTGTTTGCTGCTTATATTAGCGTTCACGGTTGCCAGCCGTAATCCCCAGACGCAGTCCTTGCCATTTGGGGTTTGCTGGTGGAACTTGAATTTTGCTTTGTGAGAGCTGCTACACACGCAGTGTGAGGTCTATATATCTATATATATATATAGTTGTATTTATACATGCACGCATTGCATGCGCGCATGCATGCATGCGTGCAAGCATGAAGCCATACTACACGCACACACACAGAAGCACGCGTGCGCGCGCACACACAGACACACACACACACACACACACACACACTCACGCACGCACGCACGCACGCACGCACGCACGCACGCACGCACGCACGCACGCACGCACGCACGCACGCACGCACGCACGCACGCACGCACGCACGCACGCACGCACGCACGCACGCACGCACGCACGCACGCACGCACGCACGCACGCACGCACGCACGCACGCACGCACGCACGCACGCACGCACGCACGCACGCACGCACGCACGCACGCACGCACGCACGCACGCACGCACGCACGCACGCACGCACGCACGCACGCACGCACGCACGCACGCACGCACGCACGCACGCACGCACGCACGCACGCACGCACGCACGCACGCACGCACGCACGCACGCACGCACGCACTGCACGCACGCACGCACGCACGCACGCACGCACGCACGCACGCACGCACGCACGCACGCACGCACGCACGCACGCACGCACGCACGCACGCACGCACGCACGCACGCACGCACGCACGCACGCACGCACGCACGCACGCACGCACGCACGCACGCACGCACGCACGCACGCACGCACGCACGCACGCACGCACGCACGCACGCACGCACGCACGCACGCACGCACGCACGCACGCACGCACGCACGCACGCACGCACGCACGCACGCACGCACGCACGCACGCACGCACGCACGCAGGCACACACACACACACACACCCGCGCGCACACGCGCACAAACACACACCATCCATCCGTCCGTCCGTCCATCCATCCATCCATCCATCCATCCATGCATTCATGCATCCATGCATGCATGCATTTATCAGCACACATACATACCAACCTAGCTACCTACCTACCGCCTACCTACCTACCTACATACATATATACGTAAATATATACATACCGCCTACCTACCTACCTACCTACCTACATACATAGATACGTAAATATATACATATACAAATATATACATACATACATGCATACATACATACAGTCATACATGAATACATAATATATATATATATACACATGCATACATACACACAAACATGCATGCATACATACACACACGCAATCATACATACATACATACATGCATACATGTATAACATACAAACAGGCATGCGTGGGTGTGAGTAAAAACCTCGATGTAGTGGCCTGTGAAGGGGTTCCCCTGCTGTTGAATACCCCGTTCAATAAGTATTGAACCGGCTGGTCCAATAATCCATCAAATCGTTTGGGGGGTTGGTCTAAGGGGGTTGCCCGTTGTGAGCTCTACGGTCGCAACACTACCAGATCAGCTGCGGGCATTGTGCAAGGTTGCCATGGCAAAGCCAAAGTATACGCAGGCACAGGTGGCCAGATTATCGCAGACACAGCTGTACCTCGCTGCCCCAGAGCTCAAGCTGGAAATCTCGCCTTCGGCAATAGTTCGGAAGAGTTGCGCTCTTGTAGCTAGAAGTGCTTGTGAGGAAGCTCTGCGCTGGCCTGATGTTTGAAAGAGTTACGGCGGTTGAGGTTTGTTGCATACTGCTTTTTGCCAACGCCCGGAAAATATAGGAAGTATGTAGGGGGCAAGCCCACCTGTAGTTCCAGCGGCCGCCTTTTGAAATCCTAATAAATACTTGGATATCCCTTTGTGCCAAGTTTTGGTTTGGACGCAATTGTGGTTGGGTCTGGTGGCCCGTTTGGGGACGGAAATCCGTTTATTTAGGATCTTGCTTTCGGGAAGAGCAGGGGGGAGCGCCAGGTATTGCGCCCATGGCATCAGAAACATCATAAAGCGTTTGAGGCATCATGCATTCGTGCTCGCTCCATGACCAGATGTGCGAGAAGTGTCATGAGGACGGTGCGGGCAGCACAGCGCAGGAAGGGAAATATACTCAGGTTCCGGAAGTTAGAGTGCGGAACGAAGCTCCCAAAATCCGAAGTCATAGTTCCCCGCGCATCCATGAGAATCAATATGTTCTTATCCACCAAATTATGCACAAAAAAATGTGTGAGTTGCATGAGTCCTAAAGATAGAATGTGGCGAATGTTCCCCACATGTCATCCCGGCATGTTTTAGCAGTTTGGTGTGAGCTGAAGATTCACCGATGTCCAGTCATACAACAAACTGAGAAAGCACTGTGCATCCGGCAAATCCTGAAAAGCTTACGTGCATATATGAGTCAACCTCAGAATTATCAAAGACCACTTTATCAACGGCGTTTCATTCAATACTGGTTTTTTGCATTTTCCTTGGAGAACGATAGGGGACTCACAAAAAACGATACCCCTGAACATGGTTTGTGCTGGACCTTCGAGCTGGAGCTGCCGAAGTCTAACTTGTGTACCGTGCCTGTACTGAAAGCTGCGACTTGCGACCTGGAGGTTGCTGCCAGCAAGCAAAAGCCGCTTAGACGGACACGTGACCGCCGCAAGCTGCGACCTTCGAGCTGGAGCTGCCAAAGTGTAACTTGCGCGCTGCGCTTGTGGTGAAAGTTGCGACTTGCGACCTTGAGGTTGCTGCCAGCAAGCAAGCCGCCAAGACTGATATATGATTACCGCAAGGCAGAGAAGGCTATTGTGTGTTTGCTTGGCTCTAACAGCTTATGGAAAATTGTGAAAATTTTCGTCACGCGACACACGCCCAGAACGATACCCCGGTCGATACCCCGTCGATACCCCGAGCATTGGCCCGAGTTGCAAGTGTGAGGCCTAGTGCATTTGCTTACGAGTTCGCGCGGTGCTATAGGGGTTTGCGTAGAAAGTTTGTTGGGCACGCGTGGTCACCGCGAAGAGGGTTCACCGGGCACTTTCCAAATTCGCACGGAGTCGCAGCGAGGGCGCTTTGACACGCGCAATCCTCGCAGAGGGTTCATTGGGCACTTTACGAATTTGCACGGCGCCACAGCGAGAGCGCTTGGGCGCGCAGGATCACTGCAGAGGGTTCATCGGGCAGTTTTAAAATTCGCACGGCGTCACAGCGAGGGCGCTGTGGCACGCGCAATCCTCGCAGAGGGTTCATCGGGCGCTTTACAAATTCGCACGGCGCCACAGTGGGAGCGCTTCGAGGCGCGCGATCCCTGCAGAGGGTTCATCGGGCACAGCGCGAACACGCGAAACGTGGAGAACGATAGGGGACTCACTAAAAGTAGAATGAATACACCCCACACAGCAAATATAGACGCTGGCTCATATACTCTCAATTGACCATATCTTTATGTCACATGCCAAGGGCCATAAGATGCGAGGGGCACGTCTGACTGGCATCATTGCCAGAACATAATGCAAACTCCTGTTTGCTGCATGAGGGGGGCTGCCTGGCTCAACCATCATCGGGTCGACTCCTAGCGCGAACCGACGATTTGGGCTGAAGAGCCGTCAGGCATGAAGTCAACTGACCCATTCTATCTCTATGTTCAGTGCATATTCACACGGCTTGGTACCTGAACACCGCACACCGTGTGTGTATATATATACATCTGTCTTTGGCACTCGGTGCGAGCTGAAGATTGACCTTTGTTTTTTCTCACTCGCACGACAGACCAACTCAGAGAGCAATCCAACGTGCATCCGACACATCGTGGAGCCACAAGTGCTCTCAGTTGGCTACATTCTATCTTTCCTGAATGGCCATTTGGCCCCCCCCAAACATGCTGCAAGCTTTGAGCCAACTGTCGCGTTTTTTCTCCCTCCGCGGCTTGAGCCAAACTGCAAGCTTGGAGCCAACTTTCTTTTTTTGTTTCCCTCCGCAGTTTGCGATCGAGCTTTGGGCGCACTGTGCCCGGAGTGGCGACAGTGACCTCTGCAAAGGGGGGTGCTCGTGAAAACCGCGAAAACGTGAAAAAACGACACATGGCGGTGAAAAAATCCTAGCGCCGTGAGGCGCTCAAACCGCGGAGAGGAAAAAGCAACAGTTGGCTCAAAGCTCGCAGTTTGGGGAGGAAACAAACGCGACAGTTGGCTCAATTTTTGCAGTTTTCGGGACAAGAGATGCCACTTTTTTTGTTGATGCTTTGTAAAGGCCCTTGTTTGAAAGCTATCAGCGAAAGAAGGCATTACAAATCCCGTGCGACTTGCGATAAAGCTTGCCAAGTCAACTTGACCGGCGCAATGCTTGGGCAATCACGTGTGGAAACAATGTGGAAAAAAGCGCATAAGCCTGCCAAGCATGTGAAGTGAGCTAGGCCATGAATATGCAAAGCGCAGGATGTTGTCAGTTGGCTCATCAATCAGTTAATCAAACAACAAGGCAGTCAATCAGCCCAGGTGGAAAAAAGGAAGAGGGGTCCACATCATGTTGTTTCCGAGTTCCTGAAATTATGAAAGTGGTTCCAATTGTATTCCCCAGGGGAGGGATGCCCTTTGGAGAATTGCAGATTCATGTTTCAATTTGTTCTAAGCACGTATTCCCAAAGGGACGGGTGCCTGTTGAAGGAATTCCCGATTCATTGATTTCTAATCACCTACTTGTTCTAGCTGATTCGAAT